TAAACCCTGTAATAAACAGTAAAAAGAGTTTATTAAAAATGATTATTTTAAATCTTGAAGTGTCCTTCATCTTGGGATGGAACAGCAGACAGATGAAAGGCAGTCAGATTAAAGATGGTTTTAGCCGACTGCACGTCTCCTGTGATGGATAAAAGTACAGCTCGACCCAGCTGGGGAAGTGTGACCTTTGGGTCACAAATGAGGCCATTCGTGTCGCTACAAATGGTAATATTAGAAAGGATCTGTGTCAGTTTGAAACGACTTCTATGTACCACGCACATTTTACTTCAACTCCAGCCAGCTCTCATGTAACATGATGTAATGTTAGTAAATTGCCACCAGAGGGCGGCAGTTGTGCAACAAATGCAGCTGTTGTCAAACATAAAACAAAACAAGAGGACACTGGGCCAGAATGATCTTTTGTGAGTAAAATATTACATTTTTATAGCTGAGAAAGTTGTGAACCACTGCGTTAAACCACTTAGAGCAGGATGGGAGATGGAGACTTGCTGCCCTCTGGTGTCGACAACTGGAACTACACTAGTCCTGTTTGGCCTTAAGTCACTGAAACAAAAAGAAAATCATAATATTTGTTATGAAGTGTTTTCTCCACCTGAGCCGACTACATGAGTTTTGTCTGTGTTTCATGTTTCTGTGCTGCTCGAGTCCAGTAGAAGCTTCTGGATCACCCTTGCAGGTCAGACCCGTGGCTTTGGGTTTCAGAACAGCAACCACAACAAATGAATTACGTGTTTTTATTCAAGCACAGATGGGGAGAAGAACCCACAGACGGTGAACAGGATTTTATTAGAGTTAAAGGTCATGGGTCACTCAGCCGGTTCTGATGAAGTCCACTTAAGTTCCACAGAGCAACGGTCTTAAACCAGTTCTACTCCATTCCGGGCCTCAAGGACCGGTATCCAGCACGTTTTAGTGGTTTCTCTAATAATCCAACACAGATTCATTGGTTGACTCATCTGTGCAGCAGCTCATCAGGCGATGCAGACGCCTGTTAATCCCCTGCTGACTGAAATCGGGTGTGTTGAAGCAGAGTTAAATCCAGAACATGCCGGATACCGGCCCTCGAGGTCCGGAGTTGAATAGCCATGACTTAAACAAACAATAGTTCCAGTTTGATGAACAGAACAACCAGTTTAACCTGCAGAAAGCAGCTTATCGTTATTTATTATCAGTTTAATTGTTCTCCTAAAACTGACCGATATAGATAATAACACGACTAAATGTTGACACCAGTAGTTTTTAATAGAAAATGTGTTTAAATGATGATGAATTAGTTATAACGTTTTTTTCTTTATGAACTTTTGGGAACTTGTAGTCTGCTGCAGTTCCAGCAAAACAACAACAGATTTCAGCTGTTGGGAGTGGAGGTGACCAAAGCCTCTGGTCAGAACTGATGTTGCGTTCAAGTGCAGCCAGAAAAATGCAAAATTCAGTTTTCTTTCTTTTTTCAGCAGGAGAAATAAGAAAAGTTTAGGATAAAACTGAACCAAAAGGTAAGTTTGCATAATTGTTCAGATGTTTTTCAGGTTTAATGGAGGGCTAGGCAAGTGATTAACTTCACACTGGAGGTGTTCTGGGCCCCATCAACCCAGAATCAATAACCCATGAGGATCCAGCTTCTCCAGCATCATAAAAACCCAAATCAACAGAACCGAGCCAGAAGTCAGTTTTCTATCAATTTATTTATTGCTCAGGTTGTATTAGGCTGATGTTTTTATATTAAATACGATGCACTAAAATGCCAAAATAAAACACAGGCCTACGGCGCTAATAGACACTCATTTATACAGTTTACCAGCAAGAAGGTGACTTTCCTTCAAAGTTCTAAACGTTAAACCAACTTTTATGTTGAAATGCTGACTCAAGTCTAGCTGATGACCCGACCTAGCTTGGTCCAACAATCCCAGCTGGGTTGTTTTTCAACCCAGTAGTTTTCAGAGTGGATCTTGTTTGGAACATTTATTTACAACTTAATAAGCAACAAGACAAGACTCACTGGAAGTCACGTTGAGCCCCAAAAAAATGTTTATTTTTAAATTCTAATTTGCTGTTTAATTATATATATATATATATATATATATATATATATATATATATATATATATATATATATACTGGTTTATAAAATGAATTTTAAACCAAAATTTAATTAACAAAAATCCATCTAAAAACATGAAACTGCTGAATTACCGAGCTGCGCCTGAATGCATCACATTGACTTGCATACAAGGCGAGTGGGTGTGTCCATGGAAAGCGATGGGTGGGCGTGGCTTAGCAGGTCATTGACTGTTGTGATTCAGTGACCCTGCAGGAAAAAAACATGATAGACTTGAGCTGCTTTCAGGTTTAATGAGACAAAGTGACCTGCAGTTTCTCACCTGTCCAGAGGAGGGCAACCTGGGAGAGGTGTGGCTTATCCCCGACTATTTGGTACCCGACTCATTCCAATTCTGCTGATGGGGGGAGGGATTTCTCGTCTCCGTGGCAACCCCACCACCTTACTGTAAAACGAACACAGGGTTTAGGGCTTAAAGCTGCAGATGATTCACCTGAGACAGGTGAGTCCTACCTCTGCTTCTTTCTGCCCTGTCTGTTTTCCATTGGACTGACTGACAGACGGTCCAGCGGAATGTTGCTTCCAGGGAAGCCCCTCTTCCTTCCCGGCTCCACAACATCGTTCTCCAACCTCATCATGTGGTTGATTCGCAGCAGCTTCGCCTTCAGCTCCTCACCTGTTCTCACACCTCCAGGATGGCGATGAAAGGCAGCTGAAGCCCTCAGAGCGGGCCGGTCTACAAGCTGGAACACAAGGAGAAGTCAGGGGTTGACTAAATGATCAGATTTATTGTGTCTGATGAAGCCAACCCCCACAATGCAGGTCAGAAATTGAAGCAAACGCAGAAATGAAATAAATTGCAGTTCCACCCTCATCCACTAGGGGATGGTGTCAGAAGCGAGCAAATCCTCATTGACTCCCATGTTAAAAATACCAATTTCACAGCAGAAATAAACATGTTTACAGCCTGGTACCAAAACATGTTTTTGGTTTAAATGATCTAGTTTACACTCATGACAACTCTGAGGGGGGTGCATTTTTTTTCTCACTCTTCTGTTTAAGTGTATTAAAAGCCTAAAATTCTGTATAATTAATGAGCATCACACCCACGTGACCACAGAGCTAGCTCCGTGGAAAGGCCTCAGTAGAGCCTCGGTCTGGCCTGGAGACTGTTCTGGGATTTTCAATCTCTCAACTTAGACCATTAGTTGTGTGTTTGTGAGTTCTTTTTTTGGATATTTTTGTGCAATTGTTGGTTAAAATGACTTGCTGTGGCATTAATTGCACTAATAGAGCGTCCAAGGAGTCTCCACTTCATTTTTTCGGTAAGTAAAATTATATTTATGTAAAATAGAAAAAATGCTGGAAGTGCTGCAGGAGTGTGAGAAATCTTATCTGGTGCTCTCACTGGTGCTCTTCAGCCAAGGGATCCACATAAATGTTGGTAAAAGGAGATCTTAGGCACTCAGGAGATGCAAAAATAAAAAGCCTTTATTAGTACATGGCTTAAATTGTTGAAAACATCAATGCCAACGCGTTTCAGCCCACAGGGCCTTCGTCAGGGCTCAAAATGTACGATGTAGCCACAGCTGGGCGCACTGACAGAGGCGAGGCTGCCGAGCACTGGGGCCACCAGTCCCTCCGACCACCACCAGCAGGCAACGTTGGTTAAGTGTCTTGCCCAAGGACACAACGACAGCGACAGACTGAGCGGGGCTCGAACCTGCAACCTTCCGATTAGGGGGCGAGCGCTTAACTCCTGTGCCACCGTCGTAAAGTAAGTAAAATTATATTTACCGGTATGTATTTTAGGTCACTGCCGAGCTGAGCTTAGATTTTAACATGTACTGTTTAACCATGAAATTTAAATAAAATAGGGTAAAACCCAGTGCATTTAACATAATGCTGCACTTTAGAAAATGGGTTGAAATATAACATGTTGGTGGAGCTGGGTTCCGACTATCGGCTTGTGGAGCTCTCGGAGACCGATGTTTTCCACCCGGTTTTACCCAGCGGTCAGCCCGGCGTATCTCTGACTCAGAAGCTCTGGTGTTGTGCACAGCTAACTCCGGTTGTAGCTAGGTTGCTACCTCCGTTAGCTTAGCTCTCACCTCTGTGTTAGCTTTGGGTTAGCTTCAGGTTAGCTTGTAGCTAGTTTGACCGGGTGTCGTCAGTTGATCCCAGCCTAACAGCCCCACCCTCAGCTCCACCTCTCTTCCGTTTTGTGGAATTGTCTGGGCTTGACGGAACCTGTGACACGGTCAAAATGGCGGTGGTGGCCACCTCCCATTTATCTTCAAAAATGTCTTATTGGAGCCTGTGGAAACCCATTGTCCATATATGTATGTCGATGGATGAAGCCCGTCAGCCTCAGCATCTGTTTCTGGTACTTATGGGAAAGAAGAGCGTGTGAATGGCGCTGTGTAATTACAGGCCATCTACTTTAGTGGTTTTTTGCCACAGAAGACCCTTTTTTTCTCAGTGGAGTGGGAGGCGTGGTTGGGTTTGTTCTTTTTCCCATTTCTGGAGAATTTCACGTGCAGAATGTTCTTTTTTCTGTAACCTCATTAAACACAAAATGAACTTCTCTGAACGACATCAATAAGAACCAGAACTCGACAAAAAAGTTCTGATCCTCCGATGATTGACTACTGGAGATGGATGAATGGGCGCGTGCACCTGTGTGTACCTCAGCAGGGTTCTGCTGAACTCCGGTGACGTTCTGCAGCAGGATGACTGACAGCAGGCAGAACCACAGCACACAGCTGGAGGACGGCATCTTTAAACAAAACACACCAGAAACAAACAAGTAAAGAAGTTGATGCGATAAAATGTAAAACCCAAATGTTCAATTATTATTCTACAGAAGAGAAAATTAAAAATAACTTAAAAGTGTTTCAGTTACAAAACATCAAACACACACAAACAAACAAACAACCGAAGGAAAAATATAAATGACATAAACCTGAGGTTTTTTTCCTGCTCCGTGTGCGGGTTAGGGTACACACACACACACACACACACACACACACACACACACACACACACACACACACACACACACACACACACACACACACACACACAGAGGGAGAGACGTTTTGCCCCAACAACAACACAAACTATTGTCCAGCAACATCTTCTAATTTTAGCATTTTCCGTTCCTGCAAATAAACACCTTACCTTTGGAGTGTCACTTACACACACTCACACATACACACTTACACACACTCACACATACACACACATACAGTCACACATAAAACACACTGTTCCCTCCAACCATGCAGACAGATTGTCACTGTAACACACACGTTCCTGATGATGCACAGTGTTCTTCCTCCTGAAAAATCAGATCTTTCCTGTTTCCTTCCTCCAGGAGGCAGAACCTCCCAACAACACCTGAACGCAACATTTGTGTTTCTGCTCCACTCCTGCAGCTGCTCTGAGAAACAAAACATTCATGGGAATTTTGACTTTCTGCAGCCGATTTCAGTAACTATATCAGGAATGACACACACACACACACACACACATACACACACACACACACACGCACACACACACATACATATGGAAACACACACACACATGGAAACACACATGCACACACGCACACACATGGAAACACACATGCACACACGCACACACATACCCACTCACACACACACATATATACACACACATTCACAAACACACACACTGACACACACATATACACACACAAACACACACACACATGGAAACACACACATATATATACACACACACACTCACTCACACACACACACACACACACATATATACACACACAAACACACACACATATATACACACACTCACAAATACACACACACACACACACATATACACACACGCACTCACACACACACACACATATGGAAACACACACATATATACACACACACACATGCACATATATATATATATATATACATACACACACACACTCTCACTCACACACACATATGGAAACACACACACACACACACACACACACAGTACCTTCTGTCTGGACTTTCCTCTCCAGGTTTCCTGGTTTTCCTTCTTTTTATATCTGCTGCTGGGAACCTCTCACCCAATCAGGACCATCAGCTGCTGTGACATCATCAGCTCATTACCTGAGGGAGCAGTCACATCTCACCTCCTCTGGTTTTAAAATAAACTCTGGTTTTGTCTCGCTGACCCGTTCTCTGCGGGTCGGTACCAGAGACGACGTGGACAGATCCTCTCCATCAGATTAGATAAAGATCAACTCAATCAGGAATTCCTTCAGTCACTGTTTTTATTTTTGTCTCGTTTTCTGTTGTTGCTGCAAAACGAATCAGACGAACGATGATTTAGTGTCCAGATCATTTACCTGACAGGTGTTTGAGTCAGGGTTATATGTTGTCTTGGATGTTTGATCCGCATCAGCGGTTAGAAATCAGGTTTTAGATCACAGGATCTGTTTCATCCTGACCTCTCACCTGGTCGCGTTCAGTCTACTGTTTCAGTTGCTATAGCAACAGGTCCATCCTAATCCCTCACCCCCTTGTTCCTTCAGAACTGTGTCACTGAGAAAACACACCTGGGTTAATGACGATAATCACCAACTAATTACACACAATCATCTCTCCTTCAAGTGATGTCATCTTAAACCTTTCACCGTTGCCATGGAAATGGGAACTCAAATAGGAGACGCTGACTTGGACCAAGTTTTGGTCTCGGTCCATGCTTCTCATAAACGCTGCAATACAGTTTGTGTTGCTGTGAACTCCAGCTGATGCGGATGATTGAGAGGACCTGAGCCGCTAATCCCAGCTGTCAGCACGGAGGTGGAGGTCTCATGGTCTGGGCTGGGCTGGTTCTGAGGCTTCAGGACCTTATCAGTCCTGGTACACTGGCCAAGGAAGGCCTGGCGATCCCACCGGTGGATCTGGGGTTGGTTTGACGTCGTGCTGGAGCTGCTGTCCCTGTGACCCGGACCTGGATAAATGGAGGAAAACAAGAATCTGAACCTGAACAAATTTGAGATCAGAACATTTTCCTGGTTCTGGATGAACGTCTGACTCATGAAGTTGAGTCAGGAGGTCATTGTGAGCTCAGAGTCGGTGCCGTGGTCCAGTGACCACGATCCCTGTGGTTCTGTCAGACTGGACAGAACCAGGACAGGTTAAACCAACAGGAACATTTAAACTCGCCCCGCATGCCGCTGGGGGAGGAATAGTTGGACCTGCAGTGACGCATGGATTTAAATTCTGACTAGAACCTTGCTCACAGTTGTCATGACGACAGAAACAACAATACCTCCTTTGGACCCAGATTCAGGATGAGCATCGGGTCCAACATCTGGGACCGTTTTAACAAACCCAGCCAGCTGAACCTCGTCTGTAAAGTTCAGACGATTGAAACGTCGGTTTTGAACCTGACAGGGTTGAAATTCGCTCTGACCTCCTGTGCACGACAAACTGGGAACAGGTCTGATTACTCACGGTGACGCAGACCAGACTCACCAGGTCTCTTACCAGGGCCCAGGCTGGACCTTCAGAGAGGGCCATCCACCTTGGTTCAGTCTGGTTCAGCCGTGTCAGGAGGAGCCGAGGTGGAGCAGAAACCCACTGGTGTCCTGCAGGGCTCAGCTGCTGAAGCTGCATGTTCTCACAGATCAGATGACTCGCATGCTGAGGGTGAAGGATTTCTCTGGACCCTCCCCACCAGCATCCGTCTTTCTCCTCCTGCCTTCCTGGACTTCTCTGTTTACTCAGTCGGCTCCCTCGAGGATCTGATCTGAGACCAGACAGGCACGAAACCCCCCGGGAGCTCTCAGCTGAGAGGACGAGTCTGAGTCGTGTCCACCAGGTCGTCATGGGAAATGCTCATCGTGTTACAGCAGACTGCGGCTGATGGAGCTGCTTCTGAACTTCTCATCTGACCCGATGAGCTTCACAGACAGAAACATAACAGGGAACCCAGCAGGAACCTGGTTTGGGTCTGATGACTGTGGACGGTCAGAGACAGAACCAGACCTGCCAAGCCAGCTGGAGCTCAGGCCGGTTCTAATGCAACCCTGTAGGAAAGTTACAGAGACCCGGGTGTTTTCTTTGAGTATGATCAGCTGTTCTTTGTTTACGTTACATTGAGACAATCACACAGCCTAGGATTCAGGTTGTGTGCAATTCTGCAGGTGGCCACATGATGGCAGCAGCTCCTCTCATTTTCAGCAAACAAACCCAAATTGAGGCTATTCAACCACGGGTGATTGACAGCTGCAAGTCCCTCCCCCTGATGCTTCACCTCACATAGAAAAAAACAAAAAAATAAATATGACACTGCTGTTAATGTTTATCTTGATGTTGTTGTTTGCTCCTAGATCAAAGAAGTGTCCTCTCAGAGTGATCTGAATCCTCTGAATGGCTGCTGCACTCCACAAAGGTGTGTGTGTGTGTGTGTGTGTGTGTGTGTGTGTGTGTGTGTGTGCGTGCGTGCGTGCGTGCGTGTGTGTGTGTGTGTGTAATTGGCAGGCCTCGGAGGTCTTGATAACCAGTGACCCCCTGAAAACAGCTGCTGCGCTGTGATTGGTGGATCTGTGTCTGGTCTGAGCGCGCTCACTGGAGCCAGACTAATTGCTGTGGTGATGGTAACATTTTTACTTCCTGTTGTGTCTTCATCCTTTTCAGGTTGAACAGTTTTTAGCCTTCTATAGCCCGTTAGGTGTTTTGTTTGGGTTGCGGTTGTTTGTGACTCCGCTTGAGTTTCGCTTTAATCCCATTTCTGCTCAACTGAAGTGGTTTCATAACAACAATCTGATGATTAATCTGTGATGAGTTCAGATTTAGATACGGAAATAATTCCCAGTGGTGGAATTTCTGTTCATCCTTAAATGTACAGTTCGAAAAAAACATTTTTCAATTAGTAACAAGTTAGAGACAAAATTCACTGAAACATGTTTACACACACACACACACACACACACACACACACACACACACACACACACACACACACACATACACACACACACAGTTTGGGCCATCCCATTCACAAATCTTGTTTTTCTCACACGATGTGCAGTCAGTCCACACATTTCTGCACTGCTTACATTTTCTTATCAGACAACAAAACAACTGTTAACACACAGCATACCACCATAAAAAGAAACCGTAGGTCCTGGATAAAACTTCTATTTCTGCCATTATATCAGCTGAAAGCTACACTCAGCTGATTTCTGTGGAGTCAACTGGGACATAGTGATGTGTCGGTCTCGAACGAACCGGCTCTAAGAGCCGGCTCTTTGAAGTGAACGACGGGAGCCGGCTCGTCACTGGGAGCTGCCCCCTCCCCTCTTGCTTTGGTGAAAGCTACAGGCGATTGGTCAACATGTGTGACTGCGTGTCCAGACTGTCCACACACAGAGCAGTAGAGGGGGGGCGGGGAAGAGGGAGGATCAGACTAAGGCCCTGTCCACACGTAGCCGGGGATCTGCCAAAACGTAGATATTTTTCTACGTTTTGGCCTGTCATCCACACGAAAACGGAGTTTTTTCACACGAAAACGGATCTTTTTAAAAACTCCGGCCAAAGTGAAGATCTGCGTTTTCTCCGTTTTGGGTGTCTGCGTGTGGACGGACAAAACCGGAGTTTTAAGGTCCGCAACGTCACTTTCCACGACAAAAAAACGCTGACATCACGTGTGCGACCTGTGTTTACACTAGCCGACAGCATGGATGCCCTCAGAGCTGCGCTCGCTTTATCAATTGTCCAAGCGCTTTCTGCTTGTTTGTTTTTGCAAGCGGAATTACTGCTCCTTGCGGAAGACCACAGACGAAGGACGAGGTTAAGAACGGGGGAAGTACTGCCGCCTACAGGTCTGGCATGTCCTTAACAACGTATTTATCCGGGTACGTGTGGACAGAGTTTTTTTTAAACGAGGTGGTGTGGATGCAAGTTTTTCGTTTAAAAAAAAAAACGGCTACACGTGGACTAGGCCTCTGACACACAGCAGAGCATGCGGGCGGAGGGAGACCTGGTTCTGGATCTGAACCTGCTAGTCTGACTGCGTCTGAAGTCATTAGTCTTTTTTTGGGATGTTTCCAGGTCAGGCCGGTTCTTGTGTGCCTATGTTCTACACCATGCCATTCTCTGTCTGCGGTGTGAGTGGCTGCCACTACGCGTCTCGAAACGATAAGACCTACTGGCTCTCCACGATGGAAAAGGCTCCAAACAGACCTTTTGATGGAAGCATCATCAGAAACCACATCAGCCGCTGTGTGGTGTGTGAAGCACCTGCCTCAGCGGTGGCCCTGCATGACCCCAACTCCAAACGGCCTCCAGAGTGCCCCGAGAACTGGACCAGCATCTGGCAGGGGTACTCCTTTTTGATGGTGAGAGCCAGAACAACTAGACCTTCTCAGAACTTGTGAGGGTCCAAGTTCAGTGGGTTTATGTAAAGACCTGGAACGCTTACCCCCAAATTCCACTACCTCCGCCAGGGGCGGATTTAGGACTGAAGAAGATCCGGGGCTTAACACACACGCGCGCGCACACACACGCGCGCGCACGCGCACACACACGCATGCGCGCACACACGTGACACGCACTAGTCAACATCATATATATATATATATATCTTGTACCACATAATGTTTAATCTGAAGCTACATATTCAGCATATTCAGGGCAGAGTATTGTTCCTGTTAGTGTTTAGTGTGAGATGATAGTGAATATTCCCTTTCTTTCTCCAACAACTTTACCTGATAGTAAGCTAACTTTAGGCAAACCAGCAGCACAACAAATATTTTCAAATAAGACTCACAAACCTGAGTCAACACCAGTCTCATCAGAGCTGGGGTTCTGTCGTTGTACTTTTGGTCTAAAAAAACGTCCTTATATCCATCTTCACTCATGCGTTTCAGAGACTGCAGAAGCCAGCTGCTGAAGGGCTTCTCTTCAGTCTCAGGTAAACTGTATACTGACTAAGTAGCCTAGTGGTAGAGTGTCTGCCCTGAGATCGGGAGATCAGGGGTTTGACTCCTGGTCGGGTCATACCAAAGATTTTGAGAAAAATGGGACCCAATGCCTCCCTGCTTGACACTCAGCGTTGGATTGGGGTTGGATTGGGGGGTTAAACCACCAAACGCCGAGCGCGGCGTGTCTGCAACTCAGGGGATGGGTCAAAATCGGAGAATAAATTTCACCACACACCTGTGTGTGTGACGACTAAATGGGACTTTACAAACTACTGCCAGCTGCGCCCTCTCTGTGTGACTTTGGTACTGCATGTTACTTCCGCGATTTAGATCCGGGGCTTATCATGAAAGATCCGGGGCTTCAGCCCAAGTAGCCGGGCCTAACGCCGCCCCTGACCTCCGCTCCGACACGAACGCCGGAGCAAAATCGGTCCCGTTCTAGTCAATCAGAGCAATTCCACTACTGCGGCTGTGCTCCGGCAGTGCGGCGCCGTGCGCCGCCCTCTGTTCCGGCGTCCGGCAAAAATAGAATCGATCCTATTTTTGCCGGACGCCGGAGCACCTCCACAGTCAATGGACAGAAATCACAACGGCCCAACAGGAAAAGGAGCAAGCACAACTTCCGTTTTTCACAATAAATGCGGGCGGAGGGAGACGAGAGGGAATGAGGAGGAGGAAAAAGGCGAGCGAGAAAGAGGCGAGTGCGACGAAGACTGTGAGAAAATGAGCACCCGCAGTCGGAAAGTGGAGATTTCTTAAAGTGCTCAGTTATCAACTCCATATAAATGATAAATATTTGATATATTGCATTTGTTTACATTAGTAAATCATTTTACATATAGTTTTGCATTATTTTGGTTATAAATGTACTCTACGCAACAGAAAATCTGAGGAGCCACTTGGGAGTCGAAAGAGCCGGCTCTTTTTGGTGAGCTGAGCCAAAAGAACCGGCTCTCTAAAAAGAGCCGGAATTCCCACCACTACTGGGACAACCGCAGCTGATTCCAGAGTGGATATCAGAGGCAGGCGCTGCAGCAGATGCAACATGTGGCCTACATTTTTTCTAGTTTCTGGAGTGACTCTCAAGTCCTACTTTTAGTCACTCTTGGGTGCGGCTAGAGGCACCGGCTCGCTGTCCAGGCTAAGGATGCATTTACTCCTAATTGTTGAAGACGTTGACGTTTATTAGTGCAAAGTCCAAAATGGCGTTTGCATTCTTATTAAGAATTTTGCTAATATCACAATTATTACAGCAGATTTGCTATATGAATGAAACAGTAAACTATGTGTCACTTCCTGTCGGCCATAAAAGGCACTGTTACACCTATATCCGCTCCACAGCGCCACTGGTGGTTGAGAAAAGTAAAAGCCACAGTGCCACAAACTGAATTTAAAGCATCACCGAAGAAACTTAAACCAAATTATCATCTAAATCAAAACAACATGGCTCCTACTGTTTTTCTACTTTTCTCAGAGCTTTTGGGTTGGCATATTCTGTGTGTCAGAGTATTATTCAGCTCTTCATGAGTATTTATTTCACTGAGGATTAACGTAAACCGTGTTTATAGTGAAGGGAAAACAAACTGGTTCGCTTTTTCCTGGAATGATTCAGAATGTGAACATAAGATGTTCCCAGATGGGAAGAACAGAGTAGAGACGGTGGATTACACGTGATTCAGACACACAAACCTGTTCAACTTTGTTGTGCGTCCAGCTTTTTCTTCCCCACATGTTCTCCTTCAGCTGTTGCCATGGTGACCAACGCTGTTGAATCGCCTGTTGCCCCTTCATGTTTGGCTGTTGTACAGAAGCCTGCTGCCTTTCTGCCGTGTGTGTGTGTGTGTGTGTGTGTGTGTGTGTGTGTGTGTGTGTGTGTGTGTGTGTGTGTGTGTGTGTGTGTGTGTGTGTGTGTGTGTGTGAGACATCAGTCGTTTCTTCTGACTCAGAACACACCGACTGCTGTATTTTGTTGTATTTTGTTTAATGATTGGTTGAAAGAGCTCACATTTATCTGCAAGTTGTTTTGTTTCAAAGATAAAATTTGCGTTTTATTTCCTAGTTTAAATGTTTTGGCCTTTTGTCGCGTTGACCCCGAGTGCCTCTGTTTAGGCCCGTTTGTGCTAACTCTATACAAAAAGAAGACGGTCGATAAGAACTGTACCCACGATTCGGTTTTATCTGACATTATTAAAAAAGTATTTTGTAAGCTGCTATGAGGCATGTTTATGTTTCAGACTCTTATTGTGAATGTAACGGAACGGAATGACTGTTTTTTCCCTTCTTTGCTCAGGACTAGTCTGCATGAGAGACAGTCTCAAGGTCTCATGCATTTCTAACCTGCTTATTTTCAGCTCAACAGAAGAATGAAGAATGAACTCTTTTCTTTTAATTTATCAAAGAACTCTATTTTAAATAAGTTAATCCATCAAAATGTTTGTCAATAAATAAGATGTGACCGACCTGTGAAATCTAAATATTAATTACGTTATTATGATCCTATAGAATATAATAAGTAATATGACTTTAAGTGTTTCAACAGGACTCATTTCACGTAGCGTTAAAAGGACATGACACATTCCTTTCACTGATCCAGTCAGAATCTTACAGATCTGACGGAGGCGTGCTTCTGATGGTGTTTGGTAATTTTCATTCGACAATAAACCAAAACATCCGAGGTATAAAACTACGCCATGTCAGCTCTAACGCCAGTTCAAAACGTTCCGGAGAAAGTGACGGAGTGGCCGATCCTGATCTAAACTCTTCAACCGAAAGAACGATGACAAGCTGAAAAAATTGTTGCTATACCAACCAGCGGCAACAGTTCCTTTCAGAATAAAAGCTGAACCATCCAGACCAAGGCTTGGGTCTCACCAGACGCCAAGACCCGGGCGTATCCCAGGACGGGTGGTCGGTTGCCGTGGTTTCTTCTATAGGCTCCGGCTCCATAAGGTCAAGCTCGACCTTTACACCTCCTGATCTAGACGGGGACCTCCACTCAGGGTAGGTAGACCGGCAAATGGTGTCTCATGGGTTTATGGACCTCCTAACCAAAGCTTAATGCGAAGACAACACCTTCAGTTCCCATCAGAAGTCGCTTGTTCGGATTTGCTGGTTCTGATAACATCACACGTCATCCATCCACCGTCTCATCCATTTTAGTTACACATACATGTAGTGTTAAAGTCAGTCTAGTTTAATTTGTTAGTAATAAAATTCTTAACTTTTGAACTTGACTCTCTCTTCTGTTGTCTCTGAGTGAATACGAAGCTGTTATCTAATCCCTGCAATAAAAAGATCCAATCTTCTGGTTTAAATAACCCCACAGATCCGTAAGGCGGATTTCATATTTCCTATGGAATCCTACGCCTCGTGGCTCATTAAATAACACGTAATCTAATTCATTACATGAAGGACTTCCTGTTTACAAATGACTGACATAATTAGAATCTTTAGAATATTTTTCAATTTTTTAAAATGAATCTTTGGTTTTCAGATGAGCTCACACATGAGACCCGTGATTGGATCCATGCTTAGCTTGGCTGAAAATCAAAACTTCAATTTTAAGTTTTAACAGAAAGAGTTGATTTCTGAAACTGAATCCTGAATTTCCTCCTTAATCTCACGTTTTCTCTAAAAGCTCAGCTTGCCGATCTGTTTCATTCAGACCCAACGACTCGACGTTGCAGCCGTGAACACACGCTCCAACGGCCAGGAGGAAGCATTTGTCCAGACTAGTGTCACGCTTGGGTGGTGGCACACGTTAACACACATTCTCAGAGTCCACTGAGCCCGCTCTCGGCCCGTCAGAGGGCCAGTTTCTGGTGATGTCACCAGGTGTGTTAAAAGAACAGAGGGAGGCACACTGCAGGTGAGCCTGGCTCCTCTCCGCCACTCTAAACGTGTCATTAGCTGCTCGGATTCAGCTGGATTTCATTCCTGAAACACGATGAAGGAG